TTTTCCTTTCTTATCCATAATCTATAGAATTTTTCTTCTGTCTTATCGATCTCTATAGACTTGTTATATTATTGTAAAGAGACGTAGAGAGGAGATAAAGATATACACATATATATAGTACTAGACGAATTAAAACCTGACATGTTGAAAGCGTAGAAAAGATAAGAGAAAAGTATGCGCAATATTTTGAAAAAAAAAAGGTTGCTCAATATTGTTTCGATCTTTCCAACAGACATTATTTATCAATTCTATTTGATAAATTTCAACTATTATCAAAATAATTTATAATTTACTACAAATGTCAACATATCTAAATATTCATAGTCAATCTAAGATAAAAATCGATCTTTTTCAAAAGTATTATCAATTTCATATACTTTATAGTTATATTAGTTTAAACAAACAAGGAGTTTAAATGCTTTATTTATTTGCCCTATTCTTCTGTTTAGTTTTGTTTTTGTCATGCAATGAAGAAAAAAAAGTATAATGAAAAAATAAAACATTAGACTTAGCTTTTATTTCTGTGCTTATTTACAATACGTTAACAAGTTTGTGTACAGTACGGCGGGAAGAGAGGGGGGCGGTAGTGAGTAATAACCCACACAAAATATGTCTCACTGTAGAAATTTTTCTGGGTACAAAAGATTAGTCATCAAGAGAAAATATATGGAAAAAACCAATTGAATATAAAATGAGTATAATACAGAAATGAAAATGAGTCATAATCATAGAAAATTATTCATTGATTTTTTTTTTCTTATATCGAATATTTATTTATGATTAAATAAGAATCTTGATAGTTGATTATCATAGATAATCAAATATAAATGAATTATAATCTTTTGTTTCAATTCAATGTTGATTAATTTATAAACTTTTTATTAACTTTAACTATAAAAACCACAAAAAAATTTTCTTGCATTATTTCGAAAAAATTTCTGATGATCAAATGAACGATATGAAACTGAGAGATAATATTGAGAAAAAAGTAGAATAAAAAAATAAACTGTCTGTGAGCAAAATATTTCATGTATTATTATAAGTACATATTTGATCGAAAAACATTTGTCCAGATTAACAAGAATTTATTTATAAAATAGAATAAGATATTTATCTTATTAAAATATAAAGAAAATCAATAAATACTTGTATAATATTGAATATTTTTTTTTCTCGTATTTCAAAGTTAAAATGAATGATAAGAACAAAATTTCTGCTATATTATCTTAATGTGTATTAAGATAGTCAATGAATAAAACTTCTTATTATATATGAAATCAATCTTTAGACATATATAGATTTGTCATTTATTCTGATGAACTTACTTGAAAATGATTTGATAACACAATTAAATACTAGATAAGTTCAGCCAAAAATCAATTCTAATATAACTGTTATGATATCAATAACACTAGGCTTTTGTTTTTATATTTTAAATATATCGATCGAATATAATTATTCAAAGAAGAAAAAAAAATTGACAAAAAAAGTCATAGAAAAACTGATGAGTGAGAAAGATATTAATAATCTATATATATAAATTGTTGTTCGTGAGAATATTTTAGTGATTTGTCAATAAACTGATGAAAATTTTTATTTTTAATTTAAAAATATTTGTATCGATCAATTTATTTAGAGATTTTCTTAAGTATAAACTTATTTAAATTCGACTTATCTGTATCAATTTTATCTTGAAAAAAACGAAATAAATGATAAATTTGTAACATCGAAATAATCGCGTTGATTATTTAGTTATTTTCTTATCTAAAACGATGTTTTTAATTTATTATTTTTATTGAAATAAAAATATTGGTCATGTCTATGTAAAGTATTTATGATCTCATAGGGATATTGTTTTTAATTATTAGTATTTGAAAGCACGTAGATTTTGTCATTAATAAGACAGAAGGCTATATTTATGAAAACAAAGGTATACTGTAATCGATCTACAAGACATGCAGTTGACTTAAAAATAGATAATGACTTTGAAAAAGTTTTTTTTTCTCTAACTCATGACAGTCGAGACAATGTCATGAATTCTTATCACATTACCAATAATTTAGATAACCTTTCAACTCGATTAATAAATAACATTAACATATCTCAATGAAAACCTAATAAACTATTAAAAAAATAATTGTTTTACATGACTAATATATAAATATAATATTTTCCTATTGATTCACTGGTCTACAAATATCTCAAACAATGATTGAAAAAATAAAATTTTGAATAAAAACAAAAAAAAATATTTTATTTCTTAGTATTATATTGATTTATGAGAACGTGCAAATGTTAGTATAACAACAAATCATAGAGACAGATATATTTTAGTACGTCTATGTTTAAATTAAACACAATTGGATTTGATTTTTCAATTAAACGTAGGAGTTGTATTTAGTTAATAATCTTTCTTCATATATGATTTATATATTGAACAATTTTTATTATATATCTCATTTATTTCCCAAAGTATTCATTTAATTTTTCCTTATTCATATAAATCAATTTAATATTAGTAAGTGAAAAAGAATTCATTTCATGTCTTCTGTTTGGTAAATAATCATTGAGTTTTCTACGAAATATTTTTGACTAACATTTAGTTATTAATTATCCTTTGTAGATAAGTTATTATTCGTCAAATATAGTTAAGTCTATTTGATTTATAATTTTTGAAAGAAGAAGAATTTAATAAGAAAATCTTATTGAAATCTGATCGATGATTGCCTTTCAAAGTCAATTAAAGAAAATCAATTTTTTGAGAACTTTCTCGTCTTAGAAATTGATCAATAGAAATTAAATCGAAATTACTATGTAGAAAATATAGGTAATGAAACAACAAGGTTTAGGTAGATTCAAGTCTACTGTAGATTTATTCTTTTCTAGAATAGGTTCAAACTATTTTCCTCTTCTTCCATCAAATCAATAGATTTTGCGGCGGCCAATAATAATTTTTTCTTAGTTCAACACAAAAAGCTTTAACAATGAATTAACATGACATTGCTCTAATCATTAACAATAAACAGTTGGTTATGTGGAGGATTTCTTACAAAAAACTGAATGGAATCAAATTTGATTCTCTTCATTATCGACTTAGTCGCGATATTTTTATTAAATCTCCAATATATGATCAATGAAGCTCAATTCAGTATAGAACTCGAATTCTTCACTTTTCCAAGTTGTATCAATTGTTGTTCGTGTGAAATCCACTAGGTCAACTATAGCTTATATTTTATTTAAAAAAAAAGAGAATTTCTATTGTTTTTTTTTTCAAGATAGATAATTTAAGAGAAAGCTGATTGATATTCATTGATTTTTACGAATATCTCTCTTTTCACATACTTATTAGAGCTGTTGATATTTTGCATCCTTTTAGTTGATAAATAGATAGAGTTCTTTCATTGGCATGACAATTGTTTTCTACTTCGATTAGATGATCAGCTATAAAGTTATACGTAATAATACATGTTTATGATCTAGTATCCTGATTCGCTTATTGACATGAAAATAATATATCACACTTTTTTTTTAATTCAAATGTTGTGATATTGATCAGACTAAATTTAGAGATTATCAACTTCAGTATAGATCTACAAATTGAAATAGAATTCGGATGACATTGAAAATTATTATACTTCTTTTCTTTATATTGGTGTCTTTCTTCAAGGAGAGATGATATCTATACTAACGTTATTTATACACAATTGAGAAACTATTATCTTCATCGATCAATAGACTTTGGAGCTTTCGAATACTTCTGAATCGATAGATTCCCTATATAGATAAATGAAAACTTGAATAAAATTTTATGCAGTATATAGATAGATTTTATCATAAAACAATGGAGAAATTCTCTTCTCTTTTGTATAAGCCAAATCTAGTGTTACTTATTCATTTCGATGTTCGATTGCTTACTCTTCGATTAAGCGAAATTTTTTTAATGACCAATAGAAATTTTTTCGAGTTTTTGCTTTTTTCTTTTGTTCAATAAAATTGATCATAAAAATATTTTTGTTTTTGTAAAGCAGCCTAAATTTACTGATGTTAATGATTATTTGTATGAGGAAACATCCACTAAAATGCTTAATATATTATATCAGCTCATTTCGTGTGTTATTTATACCTGATACTTAGCGAAGACATATGAGATAATCAAGCGAAACTATTACGAAAAGGAGAGTATCTCTATACAGTTTTTTGAGAATTTTTATGTCTGATGAACATTTCATTTTGTATAGAAAGCCAATATAAAATATTCTATCCATCTATGATTGTCAAGAGCGAGAAAATTTATGAAAATATATAGTAAAAGAAAAGTTTTCAGCACAATCCTGATGAGCCTAAAATATGAAACATAATAGAGATATTTTAATCTTTTTGACAATCTCTATCGTCTATATGAGAGACTATGATGGAACTCAAAACCAGCATGCCGT